TATTCTGGCATAGCATTATGACCGATCCATTCTTTCGTAATTACTGGCTCATATCCATTGACTATTGAAAAGGCAATACGCTAAAAGAATGTTAACTGTTAACGGGGTATTCTCTCTTGTGTAATATCGGCAACTGTCAGATATCACACATCCTATTTATGCATACAAATAGCAATGGACATCAATTGGCGTTCAAAGCTAGATCTATGTTTTTGATTGATCTTTAGTGCCCTTTAAAAAAGCATAAAAATTTTCATATCACACGATAATGTTTGTAGTTCTTTTATTGATTTTTTTCTCATGGTCTAGGATAGTTATTGTCAACATATTCTCGTTTTCCAACCTTATTTAAACTTTTTTATTTTTCTATAAGAACGTAAGATGAAAAAGTGTTCAGTAACAGAAAATCGAAATAGCTGGATATATATTATTATTCGCGGCTTGATTATTCATTTATATTTCATAAAATATTACTTTATTTTATTTTAACCGTGTAGAGTTTTCTAGTCAAATCGACTCATCGTCAGTCCTGCCAATATCACAACATTACTATATTTGAGTGTGTTAATTAAGCAGCATTTTGGTCAGATAAAATATAAATTGTATTAAAACTGCTGATGATTTGACTCGAAAGCTCTACAGAAAAGTTCATGGTAGGTTCTATCTACTATTTTTGCTAGAAAAAACAATAATGTAATAATTGAATAACCTACTATGAGTTTTTGATACGATGGAACGACCTGTACCGCGAAAAGGTGGTGTTTGATGATCATTGACGTGCTGTTGAGAAAAACTAGTTCCATCTGAATATGACACATAATCAATCGTATCTGTCGGTAAAGGTTCAAAATTGTAAGAATTATTTACTCTTGCGTTAGCAACCCTAGAAATATAAAAAGACTTTTATAATTAGATAAATCACTCAAAATAAATCTTCTAAACAGCATACTTTCTAGCAGCAGTCGATAATATCTCGTTTATTCGTCCGACAGCAGTACGCTCTTTGATTTTTTCATAATGTTCACTGATTTGCCCATAGTCACCTTCGATTATCGTCTGAACTATTAAACGAGGTTTTCTTCCCACTTCGGCGGCCAATAATTTCACTATTTCTCGTTCACAGTCGTCAATCAAACGATAGGTTCTAAATGACATATTTTTGCTCATGTATTACCAGTAAAACAACATTAATATCATGATTATTTAATCTAAGAGAATATAAAACAATACAAAAAACCGCGGAAATAAAGTAAATAAGAAGATGTTGTGTTTATTTTTTACTTTAGACTACTAAACCCCATTTTCTTCCTTCTTTTGCCATAAAAATGGATGCACACCGACAAACAACTTTACGAATTTTGACTAATATGTGCACTGATGTTGTACAAGTTGTAAATACTTTATACAGATTAGCCAATCAACATGAATTGGAGAATGACCGAAGAAAAATAGCTATAATTTTGGTACAATGTGAACAAATATTGAGTCTTCTGCCTATTTTACCACGTTTGTCCAATTATCAACTGATGATGCCTATGGACCGATTTGAACGAGCTGTTATTCGTGACTTATATGCTGAACTCACATCCACACCTCGAAGATTTTGTTCACCAACTGGAATTCCTCTTGAGGAATTTAATGACGTTTATCGACTATATGTAAACAACATGATTAGAAAACTGTCCATCTTTCGTCAAAGGTGAGCGACCATGTATTATTAATCTGTTTTTTTACCGAGAGAAACTCAGACTATCAGCTTGTCTCTCGCTCCTCTCTCCAAATATCGTCCGAGGTTTACACGCAAATTAGATTTTTTTGTAGAATTCACAATAACCGTCTCAACGTCAACATCTTGCTCTTGTTATTAATTTGGTTACGGCACTATTCTAACGGGTGATCCAAGATAAATTGCACTAAATTCTGATGCATTTTTCTCTCGTTTTTCATCTATGAAAAATATGCCCTAATATACCAAAAGATAGAGAATTTCAAGCTCTACAAAACTGATGACTTCGTTTTTGAAACAAATTTTTCTTATCGCCACCAAATTAAAATGATTCACGTCT